ACTTGCTGCTCTTTCAGAGGGACCTGAGTTCACTCCAAAGAGCCCACATCCAGCAGTTCACAACCACCTGTAACATAGCCCCAGTCCCAAGGGTAGCCAATGACTTCTTCTAGCCTCTGTGTACACCTACACACATGTGGAGCACACACACACACACACACACACACACACACACAAGCACAACATTTACACACACAAAAGAGAAAGTTATATCTTACAAAAATGTTGTTTTCTGTTCCCTGGTTCCCAACAAGAGCTCCTGAACTCATGAAAATTTTCAGTCCCTCGTTTGCCAAAGAAGCAACTGATGGAGCAGGGCACAGGTTTTCGACGGAACAGTTCCTCAGAAAGACCTTGCTTGAATGGAGGGTGGTACCTTCCTGTTCTCCTGAACTGGCCTTTGAGTTTGAATTCAATAATCAAGAGTTAACGGTGAAGCCCGTGGAACCCTTGAACATTGTATTCACAAGGCTGCCATGTTGGTGAGTATGTCAGGGTATGCCAGAAAGTTGTATGCTCTCCCGCCATTCCGTCTCAGAACTCTTGCCTGTGTTTATTTCCAAGGAGTCTCCTTTCTAAGAAGGGTACAGCTGCAACCGTACCACCCCGAATGTGCCCTGTTTTGCTCAACAAAACTGAGCTCATATGCAGATGCTTTCTGCAGTTCTTGCATCTGTTTGAGTGAATTATCAGACATTAGGGTGTGCCTCGTGGAGAAACGTGGTCACATAGAAACCCCAGTTGTGGCTGATGTCTGCAGTGGGAGCAGCCTTGTTTGGAGACTTCAGCTTGTAGAATGAGGCGCTACTTCCGGGTAGACAATATCAGAACTGAATTGAGTCACTGGACACCCAGTGGTGTTGGAGAACTGGTTAAGAAAAACAGCATGCATTTGATGTCAGGGGGCAAAACATTTTGCGGCAGAAAACAAAAATGTCACGTTGTTAACTTTTCTGTGGTGAGAAACAGAAAAGCTTCTGTATCGCTCTTACTGGCATGAACAAACTCCTTGTCACCCAGACAGGGCACCCTCGTGACAGACCACAGACACCATTCTATCCAAGTCTGGCCCAAGTAACCTTACCGGGACATGGGTGAGAGGTCACTTACAGGTGACCCCCAAACAGCTGCAGATGACCTCCCAGAAACTACGTAAATGGTGTACCTCTTCCACAGACCTTCTATGTCCTGTAATCAAACATCAAGGCCCTTCCATAGCTGGCCAGGATTACAGAAAATAGAGTGCCTGCAATCTATGGTGAAGCTCTCTGATGAGAGTCTGTTGACAGGCCTGATCTTTTGAGGGTCTCCTGAGAGCGGCTAATCATACTCTAATTTCAAGATAGCTGTAGCCGTGTCATGCCCAGAAGACCGAGTTCTCTGAGCGTTGGCACTTGTTCATACTGAGATGATGAGATGGAGATGGTAGACCAGAAAGTCATACAATGATATCTAGAGATAGTAGTGAGCTGGTGTAACAGGCACAGGGCTGGGCTCACAGCCTCTCTCAGTTTGGGAGCAGTTTCAATGTTTGAATCATGTCAGGGTTTTTACATCTTCCTAGAATCAACAGCAGCCCTAATCCCTCATGGTCATTTGCACTAACAAATGGCTTATTTCACAGAAGCAGACAGCACTGGGTAGGCAGGTAAACAGGGTCCTTGGTGGGAGCTGTTTGACCGTGGGATAGTCTCCCTCCCAGTCTCCCAGATTTTGTGATTATTTCTAAAAGGAGGGCCATGGCAGGCCTTAGGTCATGGAATTATACAGAGGGCCTATTGATAAGACAGAGCATACTTTGAATAAATCAGAAACTTCATAAGAACTCCTACCACGCACAGCACTTGAAAAGACCTTAGACCCATACAGAATGGTGCTATTAGGAGGTGAGGCCTTGCTGGAGTAGGTGTGGCTTTGTTGGAGGATGCGTGTCAATGGGGACTTGGAGCTTTCAAATGCTCAAGCCAGGCTCAGGGACTCTTCTTTCTGCCGACTGCCTGCAGGTCGGATGTAGAACTCTTAACTACTCTCCAGCACCATGTCCGGCTTCCCACCTTGATGATAATGGACTAAACCTCTGAACTGTAAGCCAGACCTAATTAAATGCTTTCTAATAAGAGTTGCCATGCTCATGGTGTCTCTTCACAGCAATAGAAACACTAAGGCAACAGAGAGGTCGGGGTTAAAGACCCAAAGCTTTGGTTTGACATCCTGAGAAAACTGAGTTAGGCAGGGCAAGCCCTGCGTCCATTTGGAAACAAGGGAGCAGAAGCTACAGTTGTTAAGTGAGTCCTGCTCGGAAGCTTAGAGCCAGACCTGCTCCCCAGACTCAAGGCCACCAGGGCAAGCCTCCAGAAGAGTGCCAACTGGTTTAGCTCTCTGCTGTGGCCATCTTGAAATCCTTCACCCTCATGAACTGGGACTCTATGGTTTCTGGAGCCAGACCCACTCGGCCTTATGAGTGGTGAATGGCTCCTCCGCCGCTCTTCCCAGATACTAGGAATGCCTGGCTTATTCAGGACCAGGCTGTCCTGTCCCAGGAAGCTTCTAGGCCATCTGGCCTGTTTGCTCTTGTGCCCTGCAGCCTGTCCACGGGCTGAAGGATGCCAGGCCCCATCAGCACCTCCCAGGGACAGCATGGCCCCTACTGGGCACTATTGCACATCCTGCTGAATAAATTAATGCTCAACTCTCTCAATTCATCAGAGTCAAAACTCTCTAAAATGAGTTTAATTAAAACAAGAGGCTCTTGGGTTTTCTCAGATTATATAGTGATCAGGCCCACTCTGGGTCTTGGTGTGTATGTGGGGTAGGGGAATCCATGTCTTTGTCTTGGTCCAGTTCTCTCCCTCCGATGGTCTCTAAGAGTATGGGGTGTATTCAAAAGTGGGGCAGAGGGACAGGGAAGAGAGTCCTTGCTCCCAGACCCTACATGTGTTTTAGAGTCCTCTTAGAATGTTTATTAGCATGGATCATACAAAGTGCTGGCTTTTATAATGGCATTTGTATTCAGATACTTTAACAGGGTTCATCCCTCTGCCCTCCACTGCCTCCCCTCCTTTTGTCAAACAGCCTCATTTTTTTTTTTTTTTTATGTCCTATGTGGTCTTGCTACTGTGATCACTTCTGAGGATAATTCTCAGATGCTGTGAGCATTAGGCCTCTGACTCTCTCCCTGTGAAGGTTGTAGTGTGTCGGGGGAAGGGGTAGGATGCCAGGGGAAGGTATGGGGTGTCAGGGGAAGGTGTGGGTGTAGGGGAAGCAGTGGGGTGCCAGTGGAAGGCCAGGGGTGCCAGGGAAGATGCCAACTTCCTCCAAACCTTCTTTCCAGTTGCCTTGATGTTAATATTCCAACACCTCACCCCATCCTCATCTCGCTCTTTATGTTCCCAAACTCGGGCTCCCTCCTGCCCTCTCCAGAGGCCTATGCAGAGTGGCTGTGTAACTGTGTATATAAGGAAAAGCCCACAAACCAGAGCAAACCTTTAGATTTTTTATTATGCATTTGACGTATCTTCTGAGTGTTCTCACAGTGAGAGGATTTGTCTTCGCGATACAGTCTGGCCCCTGCGCCACAAGCTCTAGCTCAAAGGAATATGAGTTCGAATCTTGAACACAATTTAAAATTTGTCCATCTACTTACAGCGCCTTCTCTGTTAACAGATCCCATAAAGGAGTTGAGTAGAAAACAGTTCCCCAATAAATAATTACTTCTTGAAACTGTACACCACCACCCCCAGCAAACCATCACTCTCACCCTCCCCCCAATAGGCAGGCACGTTCACACCTGTAATAACTTAGGAGGCACTCCTATGAAGTTCAACATCTGGTTAAGACCCTACTTCACACACCAGCTAAAGTGTCTCCACATGGTGCCCTTGGCACATGCCCAAAGACAGGTTCTCATTGCTGTGGGGCCTGCTGGGGAAGTGGGCAGACTGTCCCCAGCTGGGCCCACATAGCAGAGTTACATGGGAACCCACAGCCCACCCTCCAACAGACACACACACACACACACACACACACACACACACACACTGTGAACACAGCAGACAGAGTTCAGCTAAAAGATTTTGAACCATCAGGAGTTACAATTCCCAATTGTTGACAATTACACAGATAAACAGGAATTTACATAATGTACAAAGAGTTTGTGTTTTCAGCTTATCTTGAAGCCACTCCCTAAAGAAGCACATTTATTCACGAAAACAGATATTCAGCCTAATAGCCTTGGGCTGGACTCTCGGCAGGCATGGGAGCTCTGACACAGAGGCCATCCACAGAACCCAGAGCTCTTTGCTGAGTGCCACGGAGTTCAAAACCATCAAGAATGGGTTTTCTCCTTTTGGTCTCACAGATGTCAAGGTTTCTTGTCTTCCTTTTCTTCCTATGTTTGAGATCTGCTCTTCTGGTGACAACAAAGCACAGCTGGACATTTATAAGTCCTAGGAACTGAAGATTCACAGACTACGGCCACAGCTAGGACTCAGCGTTCAGACAGTCAGACGCCTCGCAGCCTCGAACTCGCACAGGCCTGGCAGGCTATAGAAGCTGGGCTGTTCCCGCCACATGGTGTCCTGCAACTTCTAGGAGATGGATGCATGTTTACTTCTGTAAAGACCCAGCCTGGTGTCCACTTACTCTCCAAGAGGAGTCATGTCAAAAGCCAGTAAGTAGCTTTCTGACTTAACATACCTCCCAAACAATTTCCTTGTGAAACTGGAGTAGCAGGCAGGCATCTGGCCCCCAGGGCACATCTGGGATCATTTTTCCCATTAGGAAGCTGGGGTCCTTTAGACTCGGACATTTTGGGGGTGGGGTGTACTGGTAAGTGGAGGCTCTCTGGATGGGTCTTTTTCTTCCTCCCCCCTCCCAGAAGTCCCTAAAGAGGAAATCTGAACTGTGGAAGCACAATAGCTCTTTCCTGAAAGGCAGTTGGCGGGCAGGGAGAGCGAGGGTGAAGTCAGCTGCAGGGAGCGAGAAGCATTGGGAGTAGGCTGCTATGGCCTGCGGGCTCTGTCTGTCCTTGACTTCAACCTGTTTCAAGGGAAGAGGACAAAAGTAAAAAGAAGGGTGTCATGACAACACGCCCCCTCATTCAACCTGAAGAGAAGATTTCTGGCCACATCTCTAGCTGTCTCCTGCCTGGGAGGTTCCCCCTCACCAGTGATCTCAGAGCCTGAGTGAGTCCAAAGGTGTGAAAAGAATAATTGCAGCAGGAATGGCCACTGGGAGGTCTTCAGTTGGTTCACTCTTTGGTGAGACCCTGGCCATTACTAACTCACCTCTTACAGGGAAGCAGCTGAATGAAAGACTTCCCCCTGGCAGAAACTTCTAAGAACTTCACATGAATTAGAATGCTCCGGAAAGCTTCCTTGATGGGCTCCAGGGGCACACCAGCCACCAAATTCAATCTTGTTTTGATTGGGTGTGTGGATGGGGTGAGGGGGTAATGTGTGTGTGTGTGTGTGTGTGTGTGTGTGTGTGTGTGTGTGTGGTGTGTTTATCCTTTTTTCCTTTGCCCGCCTCGGTTTATCTGGTCTATATCTGTCTTCTGTCTGCTTCCACCACTAAACAAACTGAAGAAGACCCCATTGCCTCATTCTCTGCACATCTAGAATAGTGAGGACCCAGCATGTAGCAGGTGCATAACAGATCTTGGCCAAATGAACGCATGAGCAAATTAATAAATGATACGATGGATGGATGGCTTTAATCACACCACGGTCTCACCAACAGAAGTGTGGTTAGGGGTAGAAAAAAAGATGATAAAGAGGGGAAAGAAAGAAGAGGAGGCTGAGTGGGGACCAGCTGGGGTCTGTGGCTCACTCTCAGAGTACCTGCGGCCTCCTCAGCCTCTCTGCTTCCTTCTGTTTTCTCTAGACCACTGGAAGCCATCTCGTGGATTTGGGAAAGTCCTGTATTCAGGCCTTGGTTTAATCTTCCCTTGATCAGTCCCTTTAGGGACTGAAGCCACCTCTAGGCTATTACTGTGAGCATAAATTACCATCGCATTGCAGATGTGCGGCTGAGCCATTATTAATAATGATTTCTGATTGATAGAATGTCCAATAAGCCTAGCTTGGTTGCAGGAAGCTCTCAGTATTGCTCATACCAAAAAAATTAACTAAAAACAAACAAACAAACAAACAAATAAACAACACACACACACACCAAACAAAAAAAAAAGCAGCAGTGATTAAAACCATAACCAAATGAGCTGGAAGCCGTGGGTAGGGGCCCACTACCCATGTGCACACCCACTGCTCCTGAGGAGAGAGGACTAAACAGGGATCACTTGATTACAGAAGAGAGGCCAAAGTGGGATTGACCGTCCCAGCCCAGAGAGCTGTGAGAATGGCAGCTAACTGGCTTTGCCAATCCAGTGAGAGCCGAGATGGAACTAAGAGGGACACAGTGTGGTGGCTCAAAAAACACAGGGGATTTCCTCAAGACCAGAAGGTGCCAGTGTCTATTGGTGGGGACCCTGGTGAGCTCGGGGGTCCCACTGGCTACTTATTGAGACCAGCTGCCACCTCTCCACCTACCCTGTGCCCCTGAATGAATGTACCCCATTTTCACCTTTGACGTGGGCCTCTGGTCTCCTCCTTCTCTTCTGTTGCTGGTCTTCCTGCTCCCCAGGAATCACTGTGGGGACACAGCAGTTTTCAGGAATTAGCATTTCCATGTGGCTGGGTTGGGGGGGACTTCCTCTTCTGCCCAACAAGCACATTAGTGTATTCACCAAGGACTAAGTCCCAAGCACCAGCTTTGGGGGTGACTTCCTCTTCCCACCAACAAGCACATTAGTGTATTCACCAAGGACTAAGTCCCAAGCACCAGCTGTAGGACGGAAGGCTCAGTGGGTGGATATCTGAGTACCACACCCCTCAGGTTCTTACTGGATTCACAAAACCCCAGTTAGGAGAGCAGAGGTGCAGCAGAGCCCAGCCCTGTGGATACAGCCCCTGCTTGGCTTTGGGTTCACCCAACTCAGATAGATAGATCACTAAGCTCACAAAGGGGACACGAGTCCCATCCACAATGCCACGCATCCCTTCCTCCTGGCTGGTGATGGGCTGTTCCGCCTGCCGGGCTTGATGAGTCTCTGCCCAATGTGAAGGGAAAAGGGAACCAAGAGCTTTCAGTTATCTAGGGAACAGTGGTCCAGGTGGCCGCCTGGAGGCAAGTGTGGTGGCTTCCCACTCAAAATGGATCTACGTGCTTCTCTGTGCAACTGACAAGACCATGCAGTTTCAAACTGGGAGAGGAGACCCAGGGGCCAGAAACCAAATGGGTAACCCAGGTCAAGTGGTCCTTTGTGAGAGGTGGTTAGAACAGAAACTCCTGATTGTTGTTGGCAAATAAACTAAAAATACTCGTGGAGATGGGTGAGGTCTTCACTCCCTAACTGCTTCCAACTCACTCTGGTTTGTCTGCAGAGCTACAGGCTGCAGAAGCTGTGGCCTCTGCTCTTCCAAAAGGCAGAGGAGGTTAAGGACCTGGCCATCCCCCTCTTCACCCACCGTGTGAAGCCCCAGGTTTAGCTTCACCCATCAGTGACTTGCACCTAGACTTGAGTGGGACTAGAAGGTGTGTCGTACCTGTTAACATCTGTGGCGTGTGCACAGAAGCGCTCACAGGCCTCGTCACCTGTCCCCATGCAAGCGCAGCGCAGGCGTGTCTGTGGAGAAGGCCCAGAGTTTTCTGGAAATGGCCCCAAGGACCTCTTTCCCCGAAGGCTTCCTCTGTAGTTGGACAGTCCATAGGGCACAGTCTGTCTGCAGAACATGGAGAGGTGGGGGGGTGGGGGGGCTGTTCAGCCACTGCAAGGCAAAGCACCTGACTACAGCATGCTAGCTGGGAACTGTCTGCAATTAGCCTGGTATCCAAACAGTCTGCAGATATGGAAAGACACACAGGAGGTGACTGCCCAAGGAGCCACACAGAGCTGACACAAGCCTTTATACACTCAGGAGCACCTCAGCACACTGAGGTGCCTGAAACCAGGCTGCAAGTCCCTTCGGGCCCACTGTTGGCTTTTTTCTCTTTTCCACATCAAACCGTGCAGGCTCCTGCATAACAGGCCCTAAGATCTCTGGTCCATCCCCAGCCTGTCTTGGTTAAAATTCTTGCAAGCATGAGGACCTAAGTTAAATTCACACACAAAGAAAGGGGTGTGTTCACATGTGCTTATCCAAATGCTAGGGAGTTAGGACAGGGGGATCCTTGGGGCTTGGTGGCCAGCCAGTCTAATTGTTTAGGCCAGTAAAAGAACCTGCCACCCATAAGGTGGGTGGTTCCTGAGAGTGACACCTGAGATTGACATTGGCCTCCTTATGTATATGCACACACACACACACACACACACACACACACACACACACCACTGGACTTTCCTGCCAGAGATCTGTCCTTCAAATACCCAACGCTCCTGACAAAGAAATCTAACTTGACCCATGTGCTGGTCCTTGTCTGGGGCCTGACTTGGTGCCTGTAAGGCCTTCTATACCTGAGGCCATCCTTGGCCACTTTAGTGCTAACTGAACTCAGGCAGGCCTCACAGTCACAGCTGGCACTAGGGACAATGGGGCAGATGCAATTACAGTTATTAGAGACCCACCCTAGCCCCCAGATAGAGCTTCCTCAAAGAGACAAACACCAGCGGGTATCCTCAATGCTCTCCAGGAGCCGTCGCCACCACCTCAGTGGGGCGGCTGAGAATGGAATTCACCATGTAATGGTCTTATTGTGCAGCAAAAACTGTCTGAAATGATGGACCACTTCTGGTTATGGTAGGGATTGGGAGGCACGTCATCTAGAGCCATAAATGTTTAAATCTGGTTTTAAGAGCGAGCACAGCCCAACCATGGCTCATTCTCCAGAGAGGAAAGACTTCTAGAGTTGAGTGAGAAGAAGTTAAAACCACAAGCTTAATTCATTAACGTAACTGGACATGATCTGGGGGACAAATTACTAAGAGCTTGAGGAAACTTAGGGGGCCAAGGGCCCTTTTCCAGTAAGTCTGGGCTGTCTTGTTCATCCTTGCTTCTCTGAGTCCCACAGAGTATCACCAATTATCCACCTCAAAGGGTAGCCTCGAATCCTCTCTGTGTTTTCAAAATAAAATCAAATTGAATTTCTTTTCCTTAGAAGCATAAGGCTATGAAGCGTTTTGGGAGTGTTGAGAGTCAGGCAGTGTGGCCTGTGGGAACCAGATGCTCGCACATCAGCCGTCTTCCTTGCTGGCTTGGAGACCAAAGAGTACCTCACCCACTCCATACCCCCTCTTGCTTTTGCCCCAACTCCTTCCCACCAAGCACCCTAAGAGGCAGTAGAGTGAGGTTTCCTGCCAACCAGACAGGCCCATCTGCTGAGCAGGGTGGAGGGAAGAAGGAAGGTCCTACTGGGGCCTGAATCTTTTCTCAGGCCAGGAGGTGGGGTGAGGGGAAGGATAAAGCGGCCATTGTTGTGGGTCCAGATTTGGCTGAAGGTATATTGTTCCAGTACCAGGGTTACAGTAAATCTCCAAGTGTTGACATTAAAGCTAGTCCTCCGTTTCTTGGTGGAAATTACACACGAGGAACAGCAATGCTCCCATGTCTCCATCAACATCAAGAAAGACCTGCAATTTTGAAATTGCTGTCAGCTGATTATGCATCGGTGGGTGTAGAGCCACTTGGCTGAAGCAAAATGCTCTATCTAATGGGTTTTAAAAGTAAGGAAATAAGACGACTGGGCGTTTGTTAATAGAGATGTGTTAGCACTTCCCCAGCAGCCTCAAGAAATACCATGTACAAATTCCCCCGACAGCTTCAAAGGGTGTTTACAGAGCTGAGCCCCCTTCCCAGGGGATGGATAGCTCTTAGGAGCTGGCCAGAGCTCCTTGGCATGTCCTGCTCCAGTGAACATTTATAGGATTTGGAACAAGAGTTCAGCATGGAGGCACAAGGACTCGAGGTCTAAATAGTAAAAGGTTATTGGCTACTTTGATAAATTCTTACAAGAGTCCTGTCCCTCAACCTGGAAAAATGACATTCATAATACCCTCTGAACAGCAGCCTTGCATTAGGGATCCAGGTATTCCTTGGAGTTCTCAGATGAAATATGACAACCAAGACAACACTGGCAATTTCTCTTCCATCTGCTTCATCTCACACCAAAGCAGCCTTGTCCACTCCCAGGCTATATCCCACGATCTATACACTCACATTCTACAAACACCTACCCTGCAGGTTGAGGGATACATGCCTGGGCCCTCTTTGCCCTTAAGTGTCAGACACTAGAAAATATCTACACACACAGGTCCTAGAAGGGGCACAGACTTGGAGACATTCAGGTAGGAGGACCCTAGGAATCAGAATATCGGGAACACTGTCAAGAAAAGGTGCTTTTTCAGTTTCAGGGTCTCCTTGCATTGGGTGGAAGATGCATGCCAAAGGAGGGCCAGCAGTGAGCCTCTAAATCAGATGCAGGTCAGGGTGTTTCCTGCCCAGGTGTGACTGTGGAATACCTGATCCTCAAGAGCAGGGAGCAGAGCTGGGCATGGGGCTCACACCTGTACCCTTAGCACTCAGGAGGTGGAGATGGGAGGGCTGACGGTCAAGGCTAATCTTGATTACACGACAAGTATGAGGCCAGCTTGGGCTATAAGACCGTCTGAAAATCACAGTCAACAAAGCAGAGCAGAGAGCTGATCTTTCACTGCCTCTGAACCAGACATGGACTTAATGCATAAGAACAGGGGTAGGAGGATCACTTCCAGTTAGACTTTAGCCTGAACTACATAGACTACAGTGAGCTACAGAATGAGATCTTGTCTCAAGAAAACAACAGCCACAACAAAACACAGAAGGAAGGAAGGAAGGAAGGAAGGAAGGAAAGAAAGAAAGAAAGTATAAATGAACAAAAAACAAAACCCATTGATTGAGGCTGTGGTTGGTAATTGTGCAGTAATCCCAGCTTGACAAGACCATATTCTTTGCAGCTTAATGGGCTTAGTCACTACAAAGAAACTTCATGGGCTCTTGCGTATCCTCCATGTAGCTACGATTATTTTAAGTGTGAATTATAGATGCACCCATGCCTACAAGAATTCACATGCTACTGGAATATGAAAATTGACAAAAGAGAACCATTGAGCACATATGTTCAGGCACAGAAATGTACAGAGATTGCCTGGTGATTCCATTATTAAGTTGTAAAGCACTTACATGACCAGCACTGCACCCTCTCAGTATACAAAAAGACTGTCAGGCATTTGCTGGGATGAGATGCTCCATGAGAAAACACTCAGCAAAGAGTTAGCAGTGGATGAAAATTGGATACTTTGGTTATTTAATTGGTTTGAGAAGTGGTGTTTCATCAGTAAAAAAAATTCCACTCATCAGGCCTGCTGTGTTTGTGATGTGTGACTAAGCAATAAAGGAAGCAGAAAAGCACAGCAATGCCATTCCCTGCCCTCCTCATTCTAGCAGACAGGTCACGCACCACCGCCCACCTCCTAAGAGTCATTTGTGTTACTGTTCTTTGTCACCATCCTCTGAATGAGCAACATGAAATACTTAATAGTAGAACCATGAAAATGGAATTAAATTGGCTGAGAACCTCAGACCAGTAAACTCAACCCAACTGCGACAGCCTACAGTTGAGCAGTAAGATTTGATAATACAATTCCTCGTAGAGACAGGCAATCCTTCCATCTGTTGGTGTCAGTTACACCACAGAGGCCCACACAAGCAGATGAAGGGATAATAAACAAAACACTCTCCATCATACGTACATATGCAGTGTCTAGTGCTCTGTGTGTTTGTGTCATAAATTATCTCTTAACTTATGTACTGAGAACACTCATTACTTAATCAGCAATGAAGATGCCAGGATCTTATTTATCACCGCATCTTTATTTTTCAAGTTTCCCCAAATGTCATATATAAATGTTATTAAATATTAAACTCCAAAATCGCCTGCATTCAGTCTTCATCTACAGTCCCACACTGAACACCCTTCATTTATCTTTCGATGAGAAGTTTTCAAACAAGGAAAATGACTTTAGGAACAAAACAAAACAAAAGAACACTTTCTGGTTCTGGGGCTTTTTTCCCTAGAGAGATGAGTGAGTTCTGACTTCCTAACAGAGAAGTTGGCAGCTGTGTGTGGCGTTTGAAGGGAGGGCACAGTTATGAATCAGCAGATGGGTATCACCTGCTGAGTCTGAAACCATCAGGAAAGTGGATCAAACTGGAAGGAAATCGCTTCTCATTTCCCCCACGGAATGGCATTTAGCGATACTTGCTGGAGAAGGGTCTGGACTCACACAGCAAAGCAGACAGGAGGCCCTGCACATGCAGCTCACATCCATGCCGGCTTCCGCCATCCAACAGCACATTGTTCAGCTCCTCTTGCATAACGAAGGTTGCCTGGGCAGCAGCCCCACATTTCACCAAGGCAGTGCCAGCCTTGAGCTGGCTGCGAGAAACCCCCTACTCAACCCCAGGCTTCAAGTACTCACAATAGTTCTGTGCCTGCCACTTTCCCCTCAGTTGTCGCAGCTGTCACTATAGTGAGCATCTTAGTCTACGTCTCCTGGGCTAGTGACTTCTCTCATAATGTGAAGCCAGCCAGGCAAAGGGAAATACTGACAAAATTAGTCCCTATATTTTTTTTTAAAAAAAATATAAATGTAGTTTTTGTTTTAAGTTAAAAAAAAGAAAGAAACTTGAATTCTGGTTGAATGTCTCCCCAACAGTAGGAAATGCTCATTCTACTCTTGGAACATGTG